CAGGAGCAGAAGGTCCTCGGGGCGGCAAGGGTCGGGGGACTACGGACTTCGCCTCTCCTTACGCTTTGATCCCCCATACCTACCTTTTGGGCTCGAGGAGGAGGCGCCGTGTCATTAAAAGAAGTGTAAACCGAGAGTGCCCATCATGACCCGTGAGTCTTCAGAAGGGCACGATCCGGGTCCTAGTAACACTCATCATGCCGGGCTAGCTGCCCCTGTTTTGACCATGGTCGGGCCCCACCTCGGGTGCCGGCCCCAACCTACAAGCCCGATTATCCTGGGGCTCCCGAAAGGCCTCATAGGTCCCGCCCCAGATGGCCTGCCTCTGCTCCAGGTTTTCTCTGGCCCGTCCCGCCCTCCTCCCACTCCCTCACCTCCGCAGGATGCCCTCAAGCCTGTTGCCTCCCATACCCAAGTGGCCCGTTCCACTTTATGCCCCCCACTCCCATCTCGGCCTGAACCCCGGTTGGGTAACTGACCACGGTTCAGGCTCCTGTCTGCCTTTTCCCACCTCCGCCTCCCCGACCCCGGCTTGAGCTCTCCGCCCCCGCCCCGCGCCCCGCCCCAGCGTCTCCTTCCCTCAGGCTAGAGACTGACCCCCGCCCTATCCCCGCAGGCCGCGCCGCCCCGGGTGCGCTGGGCCCTGGCCCCGCCGGCCGCAGACGCCGAAAGTCACGCACGGCGTTCACGGCGCAGCAGGTGCTGGAGCTGGAGCGACGCTTCGTCTTCCAGAAGTACCTGGCGCCTTCGGAGCGCGACGGGCTGGCGGCGAGGCTCGGTTTGGCCAACGCGCAGGTCGTCACGTGGTTTCAGAACCGGCGCGCCAAGCTCAAGCGCGACGTGGAGGAGATGCGCGCCGACGTGGCCTCGCTGAGTGCGCTGGCGCCCGAAGTCCAGTGCCGCCTCGAGCTGCCGGATAGCGCCCCAGGCCCCGGCCCCGGCCCGCCTGACTCCGGGCCCCACCTGTCAGAAGAGGAGATTCAGGTGGACGACTGAAGGCAAAGCCGCCGCCAGCCCCGGGCTCTGGGGCCCCGGACTCCTCACCTCCGTGCGCCGCGCCCTGTCCGGGTTCCGGGGTGGAGGGAGGGTGTGGATCCGGCCTCCTCCGGTTCACAGTCCAGACGCTCGCTTTTCCCAATTGTTGAGAATAAAATTGAGACTCAGTCGCATGAGTCGCATGAGGCCTCCATCCCGGAGCGGTAAGAGCAAAATCTGCCGATTATTGTGCAGATTGCGCGTTTGGCTGAGCGCTTTAAACGGGGTGTCTCCTTTAACCCTCATAGCAACTCTATAAGGTAGGTGATATAATTGTGCCCATTTCACAAAGGCAGAACCACTAGGTCAGGATTTGCACCTACGCATCCTGCCAGACTTCAAAGCCAGTGCTTGTCAGCCCAGACAGTGCTCTGGAAACTTCAAGCTGAGGGGTAGGAGATGGGACTCTGGTAGCTGTGGGCCACCCATCCCTACTGACTGTCTTTGGTTGCAGGACTCCACCAGGCCTTTGATCCCCACCTCACCCCACCCCACCCCCAGACCTTGCTCCTAACCTCTAGGTGGCCCCAGAGTGACAATGACCTGCCTGATTCTACCCTTTCCCCACTCTGAGGTTACTTGTTAATGGGGTCCTGACCCTTCTCCTACCTCTGCTGAAAGAACCCTGTATGAGACACCTGCTAAGTGAAGCCCCGAGGGAGAAGTGGCACAGCCCTACTTCCGGGACCTCTGCCCCCGCACTTGGGCAGGAAATGTCCTCACCAGGATGGTGGCCTTGGCAGGAAGATGGGGAGGCCGGCTGAGGCGGAGCTTGTCTAGCAGCTTGGGGCCTTGTGGGTGGAGTCAACAGCCTACCTCCACCCGTGGACATTTCTGAGACTAATTTATTCTGCGGGTAATTAATCACCCTCTGGCAGTGTGATGGGGAGGGAAGAGGCCTACCACTATACAGGGCCATCCCTGCTGATCTTCAGAAGACCATGCTTAGGCTCTTTCCTGTTGCCCTCTCTCCGTGTCAGTACTTCCTCCCCCGTTAGACCTTTCCATGTTTCTGCCCAGATGCCACAATCTCATTCTCAAGAATGCTTTTAGAGTGACCCTTCCAGGATTCAAGGGGAGTCAGTTGCAGGGGGAGGTCCCAGGAGAGGCTCTTCCAGGGAGAGTGAACAAGGCTGGAAGGCAGAAGGGAACCTTGTGCTGTTAGACAATAGCTACCCCTTATTGAGCACAATTCAAGTGATTTGCATGGATTAATCTTCACAGTAATCCCAGGAGATAATGAGATTTTAATTTCATTTTAAGTGTAAAGAGACTGAATCACAGCCCAGGAAGTGTTGGTCATGTCCTGAAGCTTGTAAGTGGTGGGGCTGGCACTAACCTGCTTCTTGTCTGACTCAGGGGCTCATGCTTTCGGCCACTACAGGTTCTGTCCCTTTAACTGTGACTGGACCTAACTGAAACGAAAACGGTTTACGAAGAAAGCAGAGGAGAAAGGGCCAAAGGTAGGAATTTAGGCATTGTACTGTAGATAGAGCATGGTCCATGGAGGTTTTAGAGAGGAAAGGCATGACAGCAGTGTTTGAGCAGGCTCGTCTGGCTGCAAGTGTAGGGTAGACTGGGAACGGGCAGGGGCCTGAGGAAGGAGTGTTATCTCTGGCCACTGCAAAAGGTAAGAGCCGAGGGAATTCAGGGCCAGACTTGGGGAGTGGGGGAGGCTCTAGCGAAAGAGGAATCTGTGTGATTATCCCAGTGACCAAAGATTACTTCCATCAGTGAAAACCTCACAAACCTGGGCAACTGGAATAAAAATGGCATCATGGGCAGAAATAATGACTACTGGTGTAGAGCTAAGAATTTGTTCGCCATTATGTACAAAAAGTATTCTTGCACCTGTGGTGCCCTTTCAATACACATAGACAACACACACACACACCCTGGTTCTGGTTCAGGGCCCCTCCTTATTCCTTTCATCCCCTTCCTAAGGCTGCCTCTCTGGAACCTTTAGAGTGACTCATTCCTGTTTGCCCAGGACTTTCCCACCTTCAGCACGCAAAGTCCCACACTCCAGGAAATCCCTCAGCCCCAGGTTGGTCACCGTGCTTTCCAACCCTAGGGACTCAGAACTCCGGCTGCTGGATTGGAACCCAACCAGTTAGCAGTGTGAGTGTGGGGCAAAATGGGGACAAGGTGTCAGGAGTCCTGTGGCTCTCAGAGATAGTCCAGGACTCAGAGAAGTCCAGGATAAGTCAAAGGATACTGGGGAGGGGACATTTCTTCGAGAGGCTTGAAAAGCAAGGAGCCAGCTCAGCTTCAAAACAAAGATACCACACGGTGGTGGTGGGTGCCCATTCTTTGAGGAACCCTAGAGAAGTACCTCCCTGCTGCTTAGAACAAGAAGACCACATGAACAGGACTCTTATGGAATCATCATAATATAATCACCCCTCAAACAAACACAACCACCTTTCCCCAACTAAGCATGAGCAAAGAACTTCCAGAGCAAATAATTCTTAAGAAGGTACAATTTAGTCAAGTTAATTGGCTCTGAGCCATAATCTCCCTCCACTTGAGGTCTCCTAAATTCCTGTCCGGTGCTTCTACCTCCCATAATCAAAACTTGGATGAACAAAACTCAAGCCTCTCCCACCGAAATGGCCTCTAGATAGTGTATCCTCTGCCAGGTCCTAGAACAAGTGGGTGGGCATTAGGATCACCCAGAGGGCTTAAATGAAACGCAAATCGCAGGGCCCCACTGTTGTACTTTCTGATTTAGAAGGTCTAGGGTGGGGCCTGAGAATGTGCATTTGCAGCAAATTCCCAGGTTGCTGCTGGTCTAGGGACTACACTTGGAGAACCACAGCCCCACAACTCTGTATTTTGTGACATAAGCAACAATTCACTTATACTCACTTTTTTCCACTGTGGGGGAATCATGAATATGTAGGACTGTTGCAGATAAAAACCAGTTTATTTAGCACACTTTATGTACCAGGCACTTGGTATTTTCTCACACTTTGACTTTCAGTCCTCACAACAGCCCTGTGAGGTAGGGATTACTCCCATTTTACGGATGAGGGACCTGAGGCACAGATGTTGAGAGACCTGCCCAAGGTGACCCAACTTGTGATGGCAGACTTCATTCTGCTATATGGTATTTAAGGAGCCTACTCCGTAAACAAAAAGAATTTGGGAAAGCCTTATATAAAGGAGGTTTTTCAACATCTCCTATACAGGTGTGAATGGTGTTGAGCAAGACCATAGGGTGGCAAGAATCATTTGTCCTGATGAATGGTTCCTCTGGGCAAGGCATTCTGGGAGACCTGCAGGTCCACATTTCAGTGAGCTGAGAGTCCCAGGCAGGGCTAGGGAGGAAGCAGGCAGGCGCAGCTGCCGGGATCTTAGAGGAGAAACCACAAGATCATGATTCTTGCACGGCAAGTAGGGAACGACAGCCTTCTTTGGGGGCAGTGACCCTTGGTGGAAATACTGAGTAAACTGACGTGGGGAAATGCTCGTTACAACACCCAGGGCTGGAGCAGGGGAAGAGGACAGCCACGGGAGCAGCACCCTGGGCGCCTGCTGAGGTCCCATCAGCCGGACAGCCAGCAGGGGGGCAATGTGGAGATGCGCGAACCCTGCCACCTCCAGGCAGATGCCGGTAAGGGACTTCCCAAATGTCAACCCTGATGACTCTTCTAGCAGTTGGAGGAGGTGAGACCACTGGGCAAAGGAGAAGTCAGAATGTGCACCAAATGACAGGAAACAAGGCAGGAGGGGCTGGGACTAGAAGAAACAAGGTGAGAGCTGGGCTCAGGAAGATGTGAGCATCTATCAAGATGAAGGGTGGGACTCAGGCCTCATTCATCACCTGAACCCGTTCCTGAGCATAGAGTTCTGCTGGTGAATGAGTCCCCCAGAGCCAAAAAAGAGAGCAAGCCCTATATGCTCCCTTCTGGGTCTGTTATAGTCTGAAAACCTGAACTTCTGTACAGTTCCCTCTGTTGCCTTGGTGGATTTTATTTTTCTTTACTGCCCCCAGAAGAAGCCATCTGCTTCAGAATCAAAGTGGACATGGAGCTCCTTTCTGTCATCAGGTCTCTGTGGCAAGAGGAATGGCCACCAGGGGTTTCTTCAATTATGGCTTTAGACTACAAAGTCTCAAGATATGCAAGGAAGTGGGGGATGCACACATGGCCTTGTCCTGTGAGGGACAGGTCTTCCATCATCTGGCCTGAGGTAGATGCTGGGGCCGAAGTCCCAGGACACCAGGGCCGTTTGAGGTGCCCAGGAGATGGAGAGGGTGGGGTCTTCTGCTCTGAGTCTGGGGGAGGGGTGAGTTGGAGTGGCTCAGGAGACAAGGGGGATGATGCAGGGGTGGAGACAGAAGGCCAGCGGCTCTTGGAGCAGTGCTTGGAGGGCGACTGACAGACAGGAGGCTTGAGGGGCCTGGCCCAGATTGGGAAAATGGCTGAGGGAACCCAGTTGACAGATGTGGCTCCCGGATTCCTCCTCTCTGATCTTGCTGAGAAGAGAGAGAGAGGGGCACCTATTACTCCTTTTTAGCAGCACAGCCCAAGCCCCCATCCCACCCATTCCTGCTCCCACTGCCTGCCGGAGGCAGAAGGGAGCAGCGCTTGCTGTGGAAATCCCAGCCAGTTCTCCTGCTGCCCCCTCTCAGCACACCAGTGGGCCTGGTTCTCTTACCAGAGTGAGGTGCAGAAGGCAAAAGTGGAGCTCCCGGGCTGCATCAGGCTGGGAGCCACCTCTCAGGGTCTCCTGGAACACAGCAGCTGCCTCCTCAAAACGCTTTAGTCCCAGAGGGATTAGAAAGAGGAAAGTTTAAGTATCAAGGGGGTAAAGGAAATTAAAACTGCCCCCTTCCTCAAACTGGCCTCAGCTCCTAGTACCACTGACACCGTGACACTGTGGTACTAGGAGCTTTACTAGAAAATGTCAGTATAGACCCAATCCCTACCTCATGCAACTCAAATTCCGCCTACGCTTCCAATCTCGGACCCCTTACCTGCAGTCCCATCAGGGCCTTGCCCAGGCGGAAAAGGCCCCGGGGCCAGCCAGGTCGCAGTGTCAGGGCCACCTGGGCATCGGCCAGGGCCCACATGGGCTGACCCAGCCGCTCATGGCAGAAAGAGCGGTTTCCAAATAACCTGATAAAGACAAAGTGGCCAAAAGTCTGGATCCTCAATGCTTTGCCTTGCCCTGACCTCCCAGCACAGTGGCCAAGCCCCCACTCACCGATGATCCCGGGGGTTGAGCTTCAAGGCCTGGGTGAAGAGAACCACAGCCTTGTGGTAGAAACCATTTTGGGCAAAGCTGGTACCCAACGCTGCAGAGGAAAGAAGGTGGGAGGGTTCAGCTGGGCCTATCCCAGGGAGGGTAGGGTGAGGAAGGAGAGAGAGAGAGAGAATCTCACTTGCCAGCTCCTGGCTCTGGTGTAAGGCAGCTTCCAGCAGTCCCGGAGATGCCTAGGGATAGGGAGCAGAGTCAAGCCGGACTCAGGCCTCAGCTTCCCCAAATCCTTCTCCTTTATTCAAACAATGAATATTGCAGTCAGCATCACCCAACTTATGTAATTCTTATGACTGTTCTGCAAGAGGGTCTCTGAAAGTCCTTCCTATATCCTCCCCAAGGGTCAGAGCCCTACCTTCCTGCAGAAGAAACTACCCAGGGTCAGGGTGTCAATGATGGAGCCTGACCCCAGGTCTCTTAATCCTAGAGCCAGAGAACTCCTTCTACTGGTCACCTCACCTCTGCCTTAGGACTCTGCCTGGGGCTCTCTTCTATTGGAGAGCTCGCTTCCTCCTGGCCCGTCTTCTCTTGGGGGCTCTGGCTTTTGCCTCGAGGCTCCTGGCTCAGTCCCTTCTCTCTGCGGGCACTGGGAGGCCAATCCCCAACCTTGCGCAAAGCCAGAGACACAAAAGTGCTAGATAGATCCAGTGAGTCCTGTGAGCAGAAAGAAAAGTTAGGAGAGGGTGGGGATAAGGTTATGTCCTGGAGCAGGGGGAAGGGAAGGCGGGGCGGGGGGCAGAGACCAAGAAGAGAAGGAAGGGGACTCTCACCTCTTCCTCACCACACTGTCCCTGAGGAGAGTTTCCGGGGCTGGATGGGGGGCTCCCATCCCCATTTGGGGTGGCCTTGACCTGGAGGGAAGGCAGATGGGGATCACCTTGAGCTGCCTGCCTTCTCAGCTCCCACCCTCCTGGCACCTAGTGTTCTTCAGACCTGCCTGCAGACACTCACCTTGGGCTCCCCACCCTCCTGCTCCAAGCGCTCCTGTCGCTTGCGATCCTTTTGACGCTGCAAATGATAGAGACGATGATGCTGATGATGTGTTTTGAACATTATATGTAAACACACACACACACACAACTTATATCCTGAAGCCAATTCTTTACGTGAACGGTAGAGACTAACGGTAGAGACTATAGGTCCTGTACTGGGTTAAGAGCTTTGCATACACTATCTCATTTAATCCCTGCAGGTCCATGAGGTAGGTTTTGTTGTTATCCTTGTGTTACAGGTAAAAAAGCAGACAGGAGAGTCACCAGGCAGAGGTCTCCCAGTAAGAAAGAGGCAGACTCCAACCCAGGCGGTATAGTGTGACTCCAGAACCACCACGCCGTACGGCTTCCATGAGACCCTCACCTCTAGGCTTCTGAGGATCCAGTCCCTCTCGCAAGAGGATCCACTATGGGCCACCTTGAGTTCTCTCCTGTCCTCACAATGTGTCCCTCTTCCCCTCTCCCAAATCCCTCTGGGTTCCCACTCCTCCTGCCCTCTAGCTACCTTCTTCTTGAGTCGTTTCTTCTCTGCTTTCTGTTTCATGCGCTCCTCTTCAGCCACCAGCTCCTCAGCCAGCTGGTTGGCTTCCTGGAGAAGGAAAGGCAGGTGACAGGAAAAGAGAGAGAACGACCAAGACAGCCAAAGGGAGGCCAGCAGGATGAAAGGACCCTGAAAGGTCCGGATTAGGGGACAGATGAGGGAATCTGGCAGCCGCAAGAGCATTGGGAGAGGTGAAGCCCCTTGCTGACAGTCTCACCTCTTCGGTCAGCAGGAGCTTCTGGGGCATGGCCACCTGAAGTAGGCTGTCTGAACCACCAGAGGCAGAGGCAGAGGCGGGGGGGCTAGGAGGGCAGGGCTCTGACCCTTGGGGAGGATATAGGAAGGACTTTCGGAGACCACAGTAGGTGCCCAGTCCCTTGACCCCCTTGGCCATGTCACTCTGTCCAGGCGTTTTCCCCTCATCACAGAAATGTTCCAGGAGGTAATCTGTCAGGAGGGATAGGGAAAAGGGAAAGAAAAAGGTACATGAGAGAGAGGAGCATCTGAGGGCCAGCCCCCCCAGGGTACCAGCCTCGATCCCTGGGCCTGGGCCCTGCACGCCCCACCATGGTGCCACAGCTGTAGCCGCCCGCTGCTCCCGTCCATGTGGATCCGGTGCAGGCCCCGGGGATCACTCTCCACAAGCCGTCGGAGAAAATCCACTATGTCCTGGGAGGGGGAGGGGAGGGGAGGCTGATGTTGGGGGCAGCTCTAGGAGAGAACAAGGGGCCTGGCTGGGTTGACCCCTCCACCATGACGACCACAAACCAGCCACCCAGCCTGGAGAACCTTACTGGCTGACCTCTCCCCACTCAGCACCTGAAGACACGCTTCTCTGGTTTTCCTGGTATATCACCTCCTTCACTACTCTCTTGCTCCCAAGGGTTCTGTGTGGCCCTCAGCCCAGCCTTCTTCATCACATAAGATCTCCTCCCCTTGACCTGCCACTAGGTCGGCTACACTGAGGCTCAGAAAGAGCCTTCTTACCTGCTCTTCCAGCTATGTCCCCTGTCATATCCTTGAACATGGGCAACCCTACAGAACCTACTCGGGAGCTACCTCACGCCTAAATGAGCTCCATAGTTCCTGGCTGGCCTCTCCCCTGCAGGTCATCTGTTTTCCCCAAAACCAAGCTCTCAGCAGTTACTTCCCTACTCGGAAACTTCCAGTAATCCCCCACTGCTAGGGTCATAGGCAGGAATGAGTTTAGCTCCTCAGCCTGGGATTTGGAGCCTTCCAAAAAGGTCCCTGGCTGACCCTCCTAATCTTCCCCTGTAATTTGCTTCTGCTTGGCTGCTGTTGTCCCTCAGCTATCAGGTTCCTTCTGGTGTTGGGATCTTCCTTCCAGCTGCCCCCAAAGCCCTCCTGGCTCGGAGCTTCTCACCACACCTTGTCTCATCTTCAAGGTCCAGTTCAAATTCCATCTTCCCTCAAACCTCTTCATCTCCAATGATCTCTGCCCTCACTCAACCAAGCTGTACTCACATAGTCTGTGTTATACAGTTTAGAACCTTATTATCCACTGCTTTGTACTGCTCTCTCAATTGGCGAGAGGCATGGAACTGGAAAGAACACTTTGCTGCTGGCATCTTAGTTCTGGCTTTGCCACTGCCTGGCTGTTTGATTTTGGACAAGTCATTTAACCTCCCTGAACCTTGGCTTCCTCATTCACAAAATGAGACAAGACTCTTCAAGGCTTCGCCCGTTACATTCTGTGGCTCTCAGAAGAATCATTTCCTCAGTTAGTGTCAGCTTTGGAGGAGGACAGGAGTCATCTTGTCCCTGTGTGGCCTATTCAGGCCTAAACAGAGCACACACCTGACTAGGTGGTAGCCCACTGACTGAGAAACTTAGAAGCCACATGAAACTCCAGAGAGCTAAACTAACACATAGGAAGGACTTCAGATCACGGAGGTATAGTCAACTTTCTAAACAGTTTTAGAGGCAGGGTATCCTTCAGGAGATAGTCCTGACTCAACAGCATCTTCATGGACACTGCTGTGTGCATTCATCAAGTCTTAGTCTCAAATTCAATTTCCTCGTGGGTTTAATTCAACTTCCTAACTGGTCCAGTCTAGCCATTTCTTTCTTTCCTTTCTTTTTCTTTTCTTTCTTTCCTTTCTTTTTCTTTTCTTTTTCTTTCTTTCTTTCTTTCTTTCTTTCTTTCTCTTTCTTTCTCTCTCTCTCTCTCTCTTTCTTTTTCTTTCTTTCTTTCTTTCTTTCTTTCTTTCTTTCTTTCTTTCTAAGATTTTTATTTATTTGAGGGAGAGAGAGAGAGAGCACAAGCTGGGGGAAAGGCAGAGGGAGAGAGAGAAGCAGGCTCCCTCAGCAGGAAGCCTGATATGGGGCTCAATCCCAGGACCCTGGGATCATGATCTGAGCTGAAGGCAGACACTTAACTGACTGAGCCACCCAGGTGTCCCTCAGTCTAGCCATTTCTAAAAACAAACAAAAAAGGGATTACCTTGACCTTCTACTTCTCCCCGAAGCACAGTCTATGGTACTCTCTTAATTCACCACATGGCCAAACACGATCTGGCTCCCCAGTCCTCCATGAATCATCTCCTACCCTCTGGTCCCACCTCTAGCTACAGTGATCAGTGGTCTCCTCTAAAGTTCCTACAACACACCAAGTGTGCTCCCATCTCAGGGCTTTTGTCCTTGTTACTTCCGCTCCCTGGGATGCTCCTTCCCCAGTGAATGGCTCACCCCTTCAGATCCCTGCTTAAACCTTTCCCAGGAGGCCCTGACTACTCCCTTTAAAAAGAGAAACTCAACTTCATTCAGCACTTCCCATCCTTCTTGTTTTACTTTTCCTTGCATTTTCCATATTTGGCATACTATATTGTTTATTTGTTGACTGGCGCCTCTACTAGATGCTTCTAATTCATTGACTAAAAGGATTTTTGTGTTTGGTTTACTCCTGTCTTCCCAGTACCTAACACAGTGCCTGGTACATTGGTGGTGCTCAGTAAGTGTGTTGAATGAGCAAAGGCACAGAGATTGGTGAGGAGACTATTCTATTAGAGATGCAGCCAGGAGCTGGGTCTGAAGAACCCTGTGTGACCCAGTGAGTTTGGACTTTGTCTTGTCACTGATGGGAGTGGGCCTGATCTGGGGAGTGAAGCACTCAAGGGAAACAGCACTGGGGAAGGAGGTGATTCTAGGGGTGGAATGTTTAGTTAGGAGGCCCCTATGACAGAAAGAATGAATTCTTAAACTAAGGCAGTGGCAGCAGGAGCAGGAATGGAAATGATGGGCTTGAGTCAAGAGACATTTCCGAAGTGGATTTTAGTGACTGACTAAATGTGTGAGGTAAAGGAAAGGGAGGATTATATACAATGATTCTTAGATTTCTGCATTAAGTAACTGGATGTCAGTTTGCGTTATCAGCCAAAACTAAGGTTAGAGGAAAAGCAGCCAACTTGCAAAGTAGATGAATTAACTGATGGACTTGCTGAGTTACCTGAGATACCCAGGAAGCAGCTGGAAACACAGCTTCTCAAGTGCTCCCAAATCTGATGCTGTCCCTCCCTCAATAACTGATGGACTTCCTGAGTTACCTGAGATACCCAGGAAGCAGCTGGAAACACAGCTTCTCAAGTGCTCCCAAATCTGATGCTGTCCCTCCCTCAATAACCCTATCACCTACTTGAGGACATCCAAGCCCTTGTGCCAGACAAAGCATTTCATGCTACTTGCTGCCTTTTCCCCAGTTCATTTCTTACGGTTCCAACCAAACCACTCAGGTCTCTCACTTCAGTGATGTTCTCTAAACTCTTCCTTGCCTTGGTGTCTTTGCTCACACTCTTCCCTCTGTTCATAAGCTCTTACCCTAAGGAACTCCCACCCACTCCCCAATTCTCAACTCAGAGACCCTCGTCCGCCCAATCCTGCCCACTTCCACTACCCTCCAACTGCTACGCGCTCCTCCAAGCCCGAGCCCGAGCCCAAGCCCGAGGCCACGCCTTCACGGAGCGCTCGGAGCCTAGTGTGGCGCCCGGCTGTGGCAGGGCTCAACACAGCTGGCTGGAAAGAGGCGTGACCGAAATAAACAGGGCAAGGGGGAGCTCGGAGTCCTTTTACCTCGGTGCCGTAGTCCTCAGGACCGAATTCCTGGCAGAGTTTGGGGACAGCAGCGACCCCCAGCGGGCAGCCAGGCCTCAGAGGACAGTCTATAGTAAAGGAAGGCGGTGGCGCGTCAAGGGGCTCGGGATGGATGGGCCGGCCGGAGCCTTCCGCCCACCGCGTGAAGCACAAGACCCTACTGAAAACAGGTAGACCCAAGTGGGGCTGTCCCTCCCCTCCTGGACCCCCTTCCCGTCTTGTCACACCTGCTTACCTAGCTTTATCCGCCCCACTGTCTTCGGAATCGGCGCCATCTCCCATCAACAGTGACCCGAAACTGAAAGATGGTCTGGTATTTGATACCGCCGGGGGGCGGAGTAGGACAGAGTAGGCCGCCATCTTTGTTAGGGGCAGAAACCTCCGATTACGGAGCGCGAGAGAGTCCACGACGGTCCCAGCGGCTCCCGGGCTACAGATGACGGGTCCTGGGACGGGGCGGAGTCCCGGCGGCAGCGGGCGTTGGGCAGTGCGGGGAGGTGGGAATCGTTAGGTTCGTTCCGGACACGGCGCCCCATGGCCCAGGCGTCTCGCTCCAGTGGCCTTCTGCCTCCGCTCGCTGCCGTGCCGCCGTTGATGGCGCAACCCGGAGGCGCTGGGGAGGAGCAGTGGGAGACAAGGCAGGCGGGGACTCCTCGCGGGGACTTTCGTGGCTGGCCGTGGCTGCCGGTTGCCGGGAGCATCCCCTGCCTGGACCCGCGGCCCCGCGGGGCTCGGGGAGGGCTGCCGTGGTGGGCGGCGCCGGCGGACGCAGGAGAGCACCAAGAGGAAGGCGCCGCGGACTCGTGGCGGGAGCCCGCAGCCGGCCGCCCGATACCTCCCGCGCTGCAGCGTCTCCGGGCGGTGTTGCTGCGGCTGCATCGCGAGCGGCAGCAGCTCCTCCATGCCCGGGACTGCGCCCGCCACCTACAGGCGGCCGTGCGCCTCCTGAGGATCCTGAGTCCCAGCGCGCAGGTCCCCGGCCCCGGCCCCTTGCCTCAGCTCTGCCGCGACCTGCTACCGCACCCTTCCCGAGGGGCTGTCCTGCGAATCGGCCTGCGGGAGACTCCCATACGGCTCCTCCTGGCGCGTCCCGTCGGACTGGCCGCCCAGCGCCTGGATGCTGCCATCGAGATGCAGCTTCGGGCTCTGGGTCGCGAGCCGGCCAGCCCCGGCTTGTCGTCCCAACTTGCCGACGTGCTGCTGGCACTTCCCGCCTACCACCAGCTGCAGGGAAACGCCTTGAGCCATGTCCCCGGGGCAGCGCGCCCTTTCCCGCCGGCCCGTGTGCTCCGCCTCCTGACGGGGGAGCGGGGTTGCCAGGTGGCTGGTCAGCTAGATGAGGCGCTCAAGGGATCGGGCTTGCGGGATCAGCTCCACAGTCGGTGCCAAGAGGAGCGGGAGTTGCTGCCCGGGCTGCTGGGGCTACTGGGGGGCGTGGCGGATTCAGCCAGCAGTGGACTGGGGCTTGAAGGGGCTGGAGCCCTTTGGAGCCGGTACTGGACCCTGCTGTGGGCAGCTTGTGCTCAGAGTCTGGACCTAAGTCTAGGACCCTGGAGGGACCGCAGGGCAGCGGCACAACAGCTGAGTCAGGCACTGGGTCAGGGTGAGTGATGGGCCTGGGTGGGCATTTGGGAAGACTGGGATCTCTTTCTTCCTAGCCACGTCACTCCCCTGCCAGCCAGACTGCAAAAGCAGGCCCTTTAGAATGAACACTACCACCCCCACCGCTTACTCCCACCCCTCTAGCCCCCCTCCCCACCCGATAGGCTATAGCATCTGGGCTTTCAAGGCCAGTCTTGTTTTCCACTCAAGTCTTGAGTCTTGGTGGAAGCCTCCCCTCTTCCCCCATCATTGAGTGGGCAGTGGTTCTGGAAAAGAGAGGCCTTCTTTTCAGGCTCCAGAGCCATTTCTCCCACTAGCATCCCTGCCTCAGGAGTGTGAGAAGGAGTTGGCTTCTTTGTGTCGCAACCTATTTCATCAGTCTCTTATCTGGAGCTGGGACCAAGGTGAGAAGGAAGGGGCATTGGGAGTGAAACAGCCCCAGATTGCCCCTTCCTCATCAAACCGTATCCTTCATCCTCAGGTTTCTGCCAGGCCTTGGGATCTGCTGGTGAAGATCAGAGCAGCCTTCCCTCATCCTCTCATACCACTGAACTTTTGCAACAGCTCTTCCCTCCTCTCTTGGATGCCCTTCGAGAACCCAGGTCAGGGCTACTCCTCTGTCAGCCTCCAGGTGAGACAAGGTGCTGGGGATGGAGGAACAGAACAGTTGAATATGTCCCCTTTATTCTTTTACTCTGTTCTGAAGCCTGCCCCCTCCCAGAGGGGTTCTGTGACCCCTCAGATACTCCATCCTCCTCTCCAGGTCCCGCACCACTTGCTCTGGGGCTCTGTACCCTGCAGACCACCTTGGTCTGGTTTTTGGGCAAAACTCAGCAGCATCTGGCAGCGTGGGCCCCAGGTTCCTTCCTGGTCCTGATCCAGAAGAACTTACCTGTGAGTAGCTAGTGAATGGGAAGGGGAGCAGTCTGGGCTGGGCTCAAATCTCACTTCCTGTTTCTGCCAAAGCCTCTATTGCACGAGGCAGCAGCTCTGTCTAGACTGGCCTCAGAGGAAATTTTGGCCCTGGAAGTGGAGCAGCAGCTGGGCCTGGAGATCCAGAAGCTAACTGCACAGATCCAGGTGAGAAGAGCAGGGGCCCTGACAGTGGCAGTTTAAGAGTCAGTTCTGTGCCCAGTTTGGGGGTTGGGGTGGTGGTGGTGGTGGTGGTGGTGGTAGTTCTGGAACATTCCAGTGACTTGGAATCTCCTTGGAGTCTCTGCTGAATTTATTTTTTCTTGCTCTGTTCATTTTTTGTTCTCTCTTTCCTTAGCTTATTACGGAAAACTTCAAACATATACAAAATTAGAGAGAAGAGTATAATGGACCCCCATATTCCTGCCACTGAGGCTTTAACAATTATCAACTCATGGTCAATTTTGTTTCACCTATATGTCAGGCTCTCATTTTGTGATGTTAATAGCCACTGATGATCACTGCCTAGATCCATTATTTTATTAGGGGGTGCAAAGTGGTGATATTCCAATTCTATCATCTCTTCTTCATTTATTAGTTGACTTACTCCTATAAAAGTAAAATTTGCCCTCATTAATTACTTGGTTACTTTGAAGTATATTTTATAGAGAAAAAGTAAGATAAATGATTGATTCTTTCCTTTTGCCTACTTTTTTTTAAAAAAGCTTTTATTTGAGAGAGAGAGAGAGAGCATGAGCAGAAGGAGGGGCAGAGGGAGAGGGACAGGCAGACTCCCTGCTGAGTGCACAGAGGTGGGGGTGAGGGGTCTGGATCCCAGGACCCAAGATCATGACCTGAGCCAAAGTCAGCCACTTAACCACTGAACCACCCAGGGGCCCCTCCTTTTACTTATTTGAGACAATGTTTCTCCTCTTTTCTACATATATCATTTACATTTTCATTAAAGTAATACATGTCCATAGTTTAAATGTGAAATAGGATATTATTTTAGAAGGTTCTAATGAAAAAATAGCACTTTAATTGCCCCCACCCCACCTCTGCTTCCTGTTCCACAGTGATAACCTTCATCCACTCTTGTCTGTCTTCTAATATTTTATTTTATTCTAAACTTATGAATAAAATTATTATACTTCTGTTTTAATTTTTCCCCATTTTGCACAGTATCTGTTCCTACTATGGAAGATGTTTCTGTTTTTTTGTTTTCTCTTCCTGCCCAAGTTTCTCCTCTGCCCTGAACAGGGGCAAGGCTATAGAGTTCGGGCTTTGTTCCAATGCTCCTTTTCTCTCTGCACTCCTGCTTACCCACAGTGCTTTGGTGCTATGCGCTGCGCCTCCCCTCCCCCCGCCCCACAGCACACACAGTTTAGCCCTAATCTACCATCTGCATCTGCCTGTTCCACCTCAACTTATTACTGCCTCCTTCAACTCAACATACCCCAGAGCAGGCTCCTCATGAGGATGGTGGACAGTGATGGCCATGGGAACTCTGAGGAAGGAAGGCCACGGCAGGCATGTCATTAGGGAGGCTCCATACAGGGTCTGTGGCTTGAGCTGGTGGCTAGGCAGCCTCAGACGAGTGGCAGAGGTTACTGGAGGTGGGAAGTTCATAGTTCCTTTAGGGAGTAGTGGGGAGATGACCCGACCAAAGCAGAAACTCCCTGTGTGTGTATGTGTGTGTGTGCACATGCACACGCATACACACACACGCTTTCGTCCAAGGTTGGGTGGGGGACTGTGGAGAAGAAAGCATAAAATTGTGGAGGGCACTGAACACCAGCCCACAGAATTTGGGCTTTGTCTCATGAATGATGGAAAGCTATGGGAAGGGCAGGAGGGGTGTGGAGACCGTGATAGTCTGATCCAGCTATAGTGGTCAGGTTGGGAGGTGAGGAGATAGAAGAGTCTGGCTCTTGGTAGTTGTGAGAACAGGGATAGGGACAATGTGCTTACCATGTGAACTAACCATTGTGAGAAGGACTCTGCATGCCTTGTTCCTCTGCCTGGTGATTGCACTGTTGGGTATCTGCTCTGGGCATCCACTGCATATGGCACTGGGATGGGAAAGAGGAATCAGACGTTGTAAGTTCTCTTCTCAGCTGGACTGTGACCTCCCAGACAGAAAGACTATTTCATAGTGTGACCTTGTGTGTCCTCAGAGTATTGAGTGCAGGGAGATTCCTAACAAATGTCAGTTGACAACAGGGTCATTTCCTTGGCATAAATAAGAGGGAGTTTTGGTTTTCAGGAGAGGAGAGGAAGAATTTGGATTTAGGATAGGCTGTTTTCAGGATAGATATGTACCAGGAACTGCTTGGGCTCTACTTCCCCCCATCCGGCCCCCAGACCCCTTCCTCCCTTCAGGCTAACAGGCATTCAGTCACCTTGTCTTTACAGAGATGCCACCACATTACCCATTTCTTGGGGTTCCTCTCCAAGATGGGCTGTAGAGACCCCCCTCTTTTTTGCTCTCCCATTCCAAAAAGATAACCTATCAAAGCACAGAAACCAAACCAGCACATGGACCTTTTCTTGCTTTATAGTTTACTCTGGGGAAATGGAAGTAGGGTGTAAAAAATATTCAGTGTAAGGACATTCCAAAGTTCCTGAATCTCAGAAAGTTACAGTTGTTGCTCCTGGTCTGCATATAGTTCCTGCCTTCCTTTCATGGATGTAGATCATACAATTCCCCTTTTCTTCAGCCTCTGCCTATCTATAGATCATGCAGACCCCTCTCTCTAGCATTTGCTTTGGAACATTTGTAGTGGTGAGGGTGTCTCCCCTTTTTTCCTATTCATGTTTCTAGAGAGTAAAATTATCCTGGAGGATTTCTAGACACTGAACCAAGCTGAGGAGAGCAGGGTAATCCTATGTCAATTGTCTGTAATCTTTTCGGGGTCCAGGCCTTTAGGAAAACCCAATAAAAGTTAGGGCATCTCTCCTCAAAACCGCCCAAGCCCATAGAATTATGCACACAATTCTGTTCTAGGGTTTTATGGAAGCCAGGTTAAACACCTCAGATTTAGAAGAGCATCATAACTTGGCAAGTCCCTAACAGATAAGCCCCTTTTACTTTCTCCATATGTCCACAGCTCCTGCCTGAAGAGTCACTAAGTCTCTTTTTTCAAGAATGTCATAAACGAGCCACACAGGGCTTCGAACTCTACATGCCACGGGGTCGGTACTGGCGGCATCGTCTCTCTCCTGGTAACTCCTCTTCCCAGCATGCCCTTCCACAGTTCCCAGGGGATAATAGTCTCCCGTCCCCTCCACATCTTAGCTCCACTCCTCTGTCTCCAGCCTTGTCCTCGCCTTCTATGCCTCTGCAAATCCTATCATCTTCCCCCAAACACTGTTAGGGGCTCAGCGGATCTCCACAGCCTCATATCCTGTCCTTTCTCTTCTCTCGCTCTAGAACTGCCCAGCATTCCTAGTGAGTATGCTGGGTTGGTGGTTCGCACTGTACTGGAGCCTGTGTTGCAAGGATTGCAGGGATTGCCACCCCAAGCCCAGGCCCCTGCCCTTGGCCAGGCACTGACAGCCTTCCTGGGTGCCTGGCTTGACCACATCCTCGCGCATGGGATCCGGTTCAGGTGGGGAGAAAAGGAGGCAATGGCAGAGGGCTGAATGGAACTGGAAAAGGGGAGGGGATAGGTGGGGCAGAGCAGTTCGAGAGGCCGTAGAGGCAGGTGGCCACATTGTACCTTGGCCTTCATTCAGCCTGCAGGGGGCGCTGCAGCTCAGACAAGACTTTGGAGTGGTCCGGCAGTTGCTGGAGGAGGAGCAGTGGGGCCTGTCCCCTGAACTTCGCCAGACTCTGCTCACCCTCAACATCTTCCAGAGGCTGGATGGGGCCCTGCTGTGTCTATTCCAGCAGCCCCTGCCCAAGCCTGAGGTCCAGAGGAGGGCTCCCTGTTGCTGTGAGTCGCTCTTCCCCAACTCTAGGCTCTCTTTGCTCTGCCCCTTGCTACTTTACGTGCCCTACCTCCCATCCTCATCAGTGACCTCGTGTGGTTGTCATTAGTGGTCAAACCCCCTCCTCCTGCCCACTGCCTGTCTTCCACTCCTGCCTTCTCAGGTACATGCAATGAGGTCCAGTCCATGGAACTGCCCAGCAGCAGCCTCAACAGCCTGGAAAGTTTGGAACCCCCTCTTCGGCCTGGAGCTCCCCCAGCCCAGACAGCTCAGCTGCTAAGCACACTATGGGGAGGGGGACCTAGCCCGGAGGCTTACCTGGTGGGAAATCAGCAGGCCTGGCTTGCCTTGAGGCAGCACCAGCGCCCCCGATGGCACTTGCCTTTTCTTTCCTGCCTGGGGATCAGTCCTGAATCCTAAGGAGCCTGGGACCAGGAGCCAGAAAGTCAGAGCTCCCCGTCTCTGGCTGGAAAAGCCCAGACATTTAGAACTGCATATTAAGCCTACATTTGGGAACTTAGAAGAAAGGTGACCTGAGAACCACAAGCTACATAGAGCCTGGACTTATAAGCGAGGAATCCAAGATCAGTCCAGTGCCTGCAATCCAGAGTAAAGAGCCAAACCACAGCTTGGAACCTGGAGGTCAGGCCTAGTTCCCCAACAGTGAAGACCTCTCAGGGCTAGGCGGTGCGAGAAGGGCCATAGGGTTGGATCCCAGAGGAAAGGGAAAAGAGAAAAACCAGTAGAAAGCAGAGAGACTAGGATGCCACTTTTAAGTCCCAGGAGCCAGGCTAAACACAAAGTTAGTTTAGGAACCACAGAGGTGGAATAGGCATTTCTACACTTGGATCAGTCCCGAGGGTTCTATTACCCTGTACTCGCTGTCTCGTAACTATCTTCAGTCACTTAAGAATACTGGGCTAAAGGACCTTCACGTTTAAACTGTGGTTACTCAGAGTTCAACATGTTTAATCTTCAGTTACCAGAGTAGGGTTTAACCCCTGGTAGCTGTATAATCCCTGCCATGGTCGTGTCCTCACCGAAGGGACCAGCGCTTAAGATGGTGTTGACCTAGATCTGGCACAGCCGCGTACAGCGTACGGAAGGGGTAAAGGCTGCAGAAGACGGACGTGTTATCGGAGCCAGGCGCAACGGCTTTTGCAATATTTATCGTCTTCACCGTGGTACAAGAGGACTATTAATGATAGGTGTTTACTGACCGCTTACTTTGGGGCCCTCCATACCCTGTGTGGAAACTACCTCCCTCCGTGCTGGACTTCCTCCTCCTCTCGGGCTGGAGAGCCCGGGGCGGCGGTTGGGGTCGGGGGCAAGCACCACGGAACGCTAGCGCCGGAGTCGGAGGGTCGGAGAGCCGCACCCCGCAGCAGCCGAGGGCAGGAAGGGGAGCATTGCGGTAGAGGACACTTCCGTCCGCACGAGGCCTTCCGGGGCAGAGGTCACCATGGCGGCGTCCTTGGCTCGGCTCGGCCTCCGATCTGTGAAGCAGGTTCGGGTTCAATTCTGCCCCTTCGAGAAGAATGTGGAGTCAACAAGGTACGAGGCGGAAGGAGTGGGGACGGGAAGGGGCCGCGTCTTCCTCCCGCCGGGGGTCTATCCCCCTCGGCCGAGCGCTCAAGCAGTTTTCCCTCCGCAGGACCTTCCTCCAGGCGGTGAGCAGCGAGAAGGTCCGTTCCACTAACCTCAACTGCTCGGTGATTGCGGACGTGAGGCACGACGGCTCCGAGCCCTGCGTGGACGTGCTGTTCGGTGGGCTCCGGTGGGGAGGCGGGCGGGAGGGGTGTGGGGCAGCCCGCGCGCGTCCTCAGTCCCGGCCCCGCCGCCCTCCCGGTGCCTGACTCGTTTGTTTCTTCCCCAGGAGACGGGCATCGCCTGATTATGCGCGGCGCTCACCTCACCGCCCAGGAAATGTTCACAGCCTTTGCCTCCCACATCCAGGCCAGGGCTACAGCGGGAAGCGGGGACAAGCCCGGCGCTGGTACCGGGCGCTGACAGCACAGAAGAGCCCAACAATCAGATTTTAGGTTGGGATTGCTAGGATACCTGCCTAAGAAGAGCTTGAAAGACTTCATCACTCGAATCACCGTCTGAAGGGATACGGAGCGCCAAAAAAAAAAAGAGAGAGAGTCCTGTGATTACTGATAAGCCAACGTTTTTGGAACGAGACACGATCAGATAGGGGCCTGGACAAACTTGAATTTATTTCACTTTCTTACCATCGCCCCGTGCTTAGCCCTTTTGAATTTGGCTTCTCTCATCACTCACTCAAGGTACCTCTTACTCATCAGCCAAATCCAGTGCTGTTTTTCTCGGTCCTCATCTTTCCATCTCAGTAGCATCTGTCACTTTTAATTCACTCCCTTGTGGAACTTCTTTTCCTCTTGGGTCTTTTTCCTTTTAATCATAAAAGTGTACTGCTCTCATCCTTCACTTTTTTCTCTATTTTTGGGGCATCTCATCCTCTGTCATAACAGAGGGTTAAATCCTGCATTTCTGTTTGGCTCTAACCTCAACTACTGTGCTAAAGTCAGGTTACATGCTACTGATTTCCTCCAAATTCCACAACACTCTTTGTCCAAAATAGAATTGATAATCTTACATACACCTATACTTGCCTCTTCCCCTGTCTTCCCCATTACTTTTAAGGGCACTCATCTGCTCAGCCACTGGGGCTGGAAACCATAGCATTATCTCTGGTTCTGTCCTCTCCCTTTCCCTGCGTATCTAGTCAGTAAGTTCAGAATACTCTCTTAAACAAAAGCTTCTGAAATGTTTTCTCCATTCCCATTCATTTAACTGTATCATTGTATTCTCCACCCAGTCTCCTTTTTTCTGATCGTTTTTGCTGCTGCTTAACTTTATTTTTCAAAGCACATCACTGTTTTTATGTCTTGCTACTACTTGTTTCACATTGTGCCTAACATGATTTTCATACTGGGTGTGGATCATGAAATCAATTTAGGGGGATAAATCAGTCTTTAAAAAACAAAGTAAAATAGAACAAAAAGTATCAGAGTGCATGGCACAGGAACGGGAAGTATTCTTTTAAGAAATTTTTCAGCCTATAATCATTAATATACATATATAAAATAGAAAGTATGTATATATGTGTGTATCTGCATGTACTTGGTTGCAGTATAGAATTATTCTTACCTCGGATTGTAGGAAAAATGGCTGCTGGCCACAGGTTTAGAGAACTTCAGAATGCTTAGCTAGGCAATCAAGGATCTCTTGACACTGGCTGCTTGTGTCCTTTGCCAAATACATTTTCCATGACTTTGCTACAGTGTTAGTACACTGCTGCTCTGCTTAAAAGGGTGTGATCTTCAAAAGCTAGTTTTTCCCCCTCCCCCTTTAAAAAAGAAACTGCCAAAAAACAACCTACCAGGAGGAAGTATGGTGTAGTAAAGAGCCAGAATTCCTGGTGTTGAAATCCTAACTTTGTCCCTAAGTAGCTCTGTGACTGTGGGAAAATTACTTAGTCTCAGTGCCTGTTTCCTCACTAGTAAAATGGGGATAATAGTACCTATCTCCTAGGACTGTTGAGAGGATTAAATTGAGTTGATATCTGTAAAGCGCCTAGAACATTACCGTGAGCATAAGTGTTGTCTAAGGCCTTATGCTATAGCCGAAAGGATACTGACCGCCTAGATTGTAGTTCCTCAGCTTGATGGTTAACTGGCTGTTCTCTCTGGCCAGATTTTACCACTCTCCTCATCTGTAAAAATGGGGATGGTTCAGACATGCTATAAACATAGATTGAATGCTGGCACTGTGAACTTGAGGTTGGGGCTGTTTTCTCTGTGTCTCCTGCACTTTACATAGTGCCTGATGCATAGTGTGCAATAAACGTGTTGAATTTACAAATATTTACTATCTACCTTGTGCCTGTAACTTTGATTAGTACTGCATACAAAGATGAATAATGAAACTCAGGTATGTAATGAGTGCTGCAATAGAGATATGAACTAGATGCAATGGTAGCAAGAAAGATAAAGACAGGAGTGACCATTGGGATTGGTCAGAAGGTGACTGTTGAAAAATCAAAAAGTCTACCAGTGGGGGGGGGGTCAGATATCAGATTATAGCAAAATAGAAAGTGAACATGCAACATACAGTATTAGCTTTATATAATGAGTTTGGATGGGAGGTGTGATAATAGCTAGAGTAGCATCATGGTGTTGAGTAGGGTTTTTTAAAGGATGATAGGGACTTGTACTTTATGAAAATAACTTTTATGCCAAGCTGTTGGTGAGAAACAAGTAACTGAATCCAAGTTGCTTTTCTGAACCACCATTAATTGTAATGTCAACTCTCCTAGGTCCACCTGAGGTGCAGATGCCACTTCCTATAGCCTCCCTGACCTGGATATAATTGATCCTTCCCCTCAGCTTCTGTGCTTCCTGAGTTGTAGAATAGAGGGGGTAAAATGCATTCTTTAAAGTGCATGCACCACCGTTACGGTCCTTTTAGGGTTCATCTAGATAAGGAATCCTAAACTGTCAGAGGGTCGCTTAAAGACACTGTTGGAACAGATCTCAGGCTTCCTCTTGGGTCCACTCCGGCACACTCCACTTAACTAGGAAAGAAGGCATGGGCGTGGGCAAAGTGATCCAGTCTGTTTCAGATACACTTGGGCTCCAAGCTAGCCACTTCCTGGCTCTGTGGCCAGGGCCAAGTTACTTTAACTTTCTAGGCCAGTTTTCAGCCACCTGATTGGGGCGGTTACATGTAAAACACTCGGGATGGCGTTTCAGGTTCTTAATATATAGTCATTTGAAAAACAAAAAAGCCAATGTGAGATTACTTTTCTCTACTAGCTTGTGAAATCCGCGAGATGGCCAAAGAAACGTTAACCCTGGAGACAACCAGCCCTTTGCCAGGCCGGTGGCGGCGGTTCCGGACTCGGGAGACTTAATCGGACGTGGCGGGGCGGGGCTTCCGGCAGGAGGCGGAAGCGGAGCGGGAGGCGCGGGCAGGCGGGTTCGGCTGACAGATCTGTGGCTGCAGGTGCGCCGCGCGCAAAGCCGGGGAGGCAAAGCAGGACCCGGGCTCCGTTGCCGCCTTTCCGAGCTCCCGCAACGCCGACCTCCCGTCTAGGATGGCTCGGGGCGAGCGGCGGCGCCGCGGAGCGCCGGCAGACGGACCGCGGACAACTGAAAGGGCGGTTCGGGGTGGCCCTGCACGACGGGGCGGCGAGGCCCGTGGTTTTGCCTGGAGAGCGGCTCTGGGCATCGTGGTCCTGTCTCTGGCCCTGGGCCTGTCAGGATGCTGGCTGCTGGCGTGGCACCGTGCGCGGAGGGCGGTCACACTGCACTCGGCGCCCCCGGCACTGCCTCCCGACTCTTCCAGCCCCGCCGTGGCCCCGGACCTCTTCTGGGGCACCTACCGCCCTCACGTCTACTTCGGCATGAAGACCCGCAGCCCGAAGCCCCTCCTCACCGGTAACTGGGCCTCGGGACGGGCGGGTAGGCAGGCGGACTCTTAATCTGGAAGCCCCAGCTTCACGCCAGAGCAAGAGTGGGGAGGGGTGTGGTTCAGGAGAGTTTTGAGGAGGGATGACCCTGAAATTCTCGGAGACCCAGAGGGACAGGTCCCCTGCTCTCTGACTTACGTGGCCATTCTACCCCCAGGACTGATGTGGGCGCAGCAAGGCGCCACCCCGGGGACCCCTAAGCTCAGGCACACGTGTGAGCAGGGGGACGGCGTGGGTCCCTATGGCTGGGAGTTCCACGACGGTCTCTCCTTCGGGCGGCAACACATCCAGGATGGGGCCTTAAGGCTCACCACTGAGTTCGTCAAGAGGCCTGGGGGTCAGCACGGAGGGGACTGGAGCTGGAGAGTGACTGTAGAACCTCAGGTCAGGGCCTCAGGACACCCTTCCCCCAGCCCAGACTCCCTTCACCCTTTCTTTGCTGCCAGCAAATGCAGTATGATGTGGCAGTTAACAGCAGGGGCTCTGAGTCTGGCTGCCTGCCTTAAACATTTGTCTGTATGACCATCTCTATTTACTATCCATAAGCCATGGTTTCCTTTTTGCAAAATGGAGATACAAATAGCACTTAACTCATAGAATTGTATGACTGAAAATGATGTGTAGCGTTCTTAGTATAGTACATGACACAAAAGCATTCTATTATTTCCCAGAGAACCCTGTGCAAAGCTCTATACCTCATCTCACTGGGTGCTTATCCTCACTGACCCTCAACACTGTAGTTGTATGTTTACCATGTTGCTCCTGCATGGTGCCCCTTTCAGTAAAGCTGAATTTTCAGGAGATACTGCTAATCTAATGCTGTGTTTTTCTGTCCTCCTTGGTCATCCAGACCTCAGGTACCTCTACTCTCCCTTTGGTGTCCCTGTTCTTCTATGTGGTGACAGATGGCAAGGAAGTCCTAGCGCCAGAGGTTGGGGCCAAGGGGCAGTTGAAATTCATCAGTGGGCACTCCAGTGAACTTGGTGACTTCCGTTTTACACTTATGGCACCAACCAATCCAGGGGACACTGCCCCTAAGTATAGCAGGTAACTAGGGGAAGAGAAAGGTGGGGGTGCTGGTAGAGGTGGTATGGATGCGGACTTAGCCTGATTTCAATCTCCCCCACTCTACCCTCTTTCCACCATTTTTTCCCCTTCTCACCAGGCTGCATGTCCTCTGCATTGCCAAGACCCTTCCATTCTGACTGTTGATCTCCTATTTCTCTTTATAATCCTCACCATATTCTCCTGAGTAATTTTCTCCTATTTATCTTTTTCTCTTCAAGCTACAATGTCTTCTGGTCCTCCAACCCAGGACTTCCCTTGCTGACAGAGATGGTGAAGAGTCGCCTAAATAGCTGGTTTCAGCACCGGCCACCAGGGGCTTCCCCTGAACGCTACCTCGGCTTGCCCGGATCTCTGAAGTGGGAGGACAAAGGCCCAAGTGGGCAAGGACAGGGACAAGGGCAATTCTTGATACAACAGGTGACACTGAAAGTCCCCTTTTCTATGGAGTTGGTGTTTGAATCGGGCAGTGCCCGTGCAGGAGGAAGCGAACCCCTGGAGCAGCTGGCCGGCAGCCTGCTGACCCAAGCCCTGGAGAGCCATGCTGACGCCTTTAGAGAACACTTTGAGAAGACTTTTCAACTGAAGGGGAAGGGCCTGAGCCCTGAGGAGCAGGCTTTGGGTCAGGCTGCCCTCAGTGGCCTCCTTGGTGGGATTGGCTACTTCTATGGACAGGGTCTGGTGTTGGCAGACATGGGGGTTGAGGGGTCTGAGCAGAAGGTGGACCCAGCCCTCTTTCCACCTGTCCCTCTTTTCACGGCAGTACCCTCCCGGTCATTCTTCCCACGAGGCTTCCTTTGGGATGAAGGCTTTCATCAGCTGGTGGTCCAGCGGTGGGATCCCCGCATTACGCGGGAGGTCCTAGGTCACTGGCTGGGGCTGCTCAATGCTGATGGCTGGATTGGACGAGAGCAGGTGCTGGGGGATGAGGCCCGAGCCCGGGTGCCCCCAGAATTCCTGGTGCAAAGGGCAGCGCACGCCAATCCCCCAACCCTGCTTTTGCCTATAGCCTACATGCTAGAGAGTGGTGACCCTGCTGACTTTGCCTTCCTCCGCAGGGCCTTCCCCCGCCTGCGTGCCTGGTTCTCCTGGCTCTATAAGAGTCAGGAAGGGCCAGTGCCACTATCTTATCGCTGGCGGGGCCGGGACCCTGCCTTGCCAACCCTGTTGAACCCTAAGACACTGCCTTCGGGGCTGGATGACTATCCCCGGGCTTCGCATCCTTCAACCAGCGAGCGGCACCTGGACCTGCGGTGCTGGGTGGCACTGGGTGCCCGCGTGCTGGTACGGCTGGCAGAGCAGCTGGGAGAGGCGGAGGCAGCTGTGGAGCTGGGCCCACTGGCTGCATCACTGGAGGCAGAAGAGAGCCTGGATGAGCTGCACTGGGCCCCAGAGCTAGGAGTCTTTGCAGACTTTGGAAACCACACAAGAGCAGTGCAGCTGAAGCCTCGGCCCCCTCAGGGGCTGGTGCGAGTGGTGGGCCGGCCCCACCCTCGTTTACAGTACGTGGATGCCTTGGGCTATGTCAGTCTTTTTCCCATGCTGCTGCGGCTGCTGGACCCCAATTCCTCCCGCCTTGGGCCCCTGCTGGATGTCCTAGCTGACAGCCGCCATCTCTGGAGCCCCTTTGGTTTGCGCTCCCTTGCAGCCTCCAGCCCCTTTTATGGCCAGCGCAATTCAGAGCATGATCCTCCATACTGGCGGGGTGCCGTGTGGCTCAATGTCAACTACCTAGCTTTAGGGGCTCTCTACCACTATGGTCATCTAGAGGGTCCCCACCAGGCCCGGGCTGCTAAGCTCCACAGTGAGCTCCGTGCCAATGTTGTGGGCAACGTGTGGCGGCAGTATCAGGCCACGGGTTTCCTTTGGGAGCAGTATAGTGACCGGGATGGGCGGGGCATGGGCTGCCGCCCTTTCCAAGGCTGGACCAGCCTTGTCCTACTGGCCATGGCTGAAGACTACTGAAGAGGGAGGCTGAGAGGGATGCCAGGCCCCCACTCTGGAATAGAAGGACAAGGTCTCTAGCTTCTGCCCCCAGCCCTCAGATACTAGTGCTTCAAACCCTCCTCAGCTCATCTCAGGTGTCTCCTTACTGTCATCCCACATAGCCCTGGGGTGAATGTGAATTCAGAGTCTATTTTTCTAAATAAATTGGAAAACCATGCCAAGCTCTATTGCTCTTGCCAGCTCTGCCTCACCAAGAGGTCTTAGCTCAGTCCAGACCTGAGGGCTGCCTACTATTCTTCAGAGGAGGGTGGGAAAAGTGGCCATTACATATCCCCTCCAAATCCAGTTAGGTCAAGTGCAATGCAGCAAGTTGAGCACTGGTCGACCCAAATTCACAAGCAGCTGGTTCACGTCTCTTTAATGAGATCAAAGGCTCCTGTGTATGTTTTTTGAGGGTATAGCTAGCACAGTCCCCCAAACACCGCCGCTCTCCTCAGGACTCCACCCCTTTCAGGCAGATTCAAGGCGGCAGGGAGAGGCCAAGGAGAACTCGGGCTGTTTCTGGTGGGCAAGGAATCCAGCCACCCTCCCAAAACTGTTTATGGGAGGTCCCCTTCACTGGAAGCTAGCCCCACAGGAGAGACCTGGGGTACAGGATCGAGGGGCAGCACACAAGGGTCCTCCAGATCTGGTGGGGTGGCACTAGCCCTAGCCTCCTTGACTGGCTCACCGTCGCCGGAGTCAGGACAAGGGCAGAGCTCAATACCTGAGTCACCAGTCAGGCGGCGATAGCGGCAAGAAGGGGGTGTGAGGGCAGGGCTCAGCCCTGCCCCAGGCTCACCCTCCTGATGAGGGGGCGCACTCTGGTGGGAGGCAACACCTTCCACATTTGTTCCCTCGCAGTGGGCAGGGCAGCTAGAAGCAGAGGAGCGGCCGGTGCGGTCACTGGAAGCAGTCAAGGGGCAGCCTGAGGCTGCGGTGTAAGGAGGCGGCGGTGTGCCAGGCCGGTGAACCACATCCTCATAGGCTGGGGGTTTGAAGGCGCTGAGGAGGCCTGTAGGAAAGATGGCATGGTTGGTGGGGCAACCAGCGGTGGGGTAGTGGTACCTTTGCTATCAGGAAAAGGGTGCTTTGAAATGTCCGAAAAGGGAATGTGGGGATGATTCAGGGTTCTGGGTTGGGAGGGGCCACTGCCAGTGGGCCCAGAGCCTCAAGCCACTCACGAAGGTCAAGCAGTGAACCGGTAGGGCCAGGGCCAGCCCCATGACATGCCCCGTGGTAGGCCAACAGGTTGATCTCCCGCTGGCGCTGCTGTTGCTGCAGCCGGAGTTTAGCTCGCCGGTGACGGAAGGCGCAACAGCAGCTAAAGAGGATGAGGACAGTCCAGAGCAGCCAGAACCCTGCAAGGGGTGAGGAGGGAGGGTCTTAGATACCTCCCAGGCAGAAAAAGGTCCATGAAGGTTGGAATTTTGAGGCCCAAGGGAGGGTGGGCAGAAGGACCCAAGAATAGCCCCCTTGGAGACTCACACCAGAGCTCATAGTAGTAGGTGCAGCAGCCCGTCTCCCCGCAGCAGTGGCCACTCTCACAGAGGTAGGGCTGGTTGTTCACTCCTGGGCAGAGCTCTCGAAGCTGGGAGCAAGGAGGCACTTAGAACCAAGGGAGATCCCAGCCCCAGGCACTGTCCACCCCGAACCCCCCCCGCCCCCCCCGCCTGCATGCAGGGACACAGTCCCACCCTGTGAGCCGAGTTGAGCTCAGAGAGATCTGTGGGGAGGGGAAGAGTGACGGTGAGAGAAGTGATCAAATATCTGAAGGGCTGTTGACATGGAAGAGGATTTGGAATAACAAGAATCTGTCTAGAGAACAAGATGCAAGGTGTGGACATACAAAGAGGCCGATTTCAGTTCTGCATAGAGAGAGACTTCTCTCACACTCAAGCTGGCTCCCCAGGGTGTTTTCTGTTAAGGGAGCGTTTGGGCAGAAGCCAGGGGGCAGTCTGAGCTATCTCAAAGTCTCAAACAATGGGTAAGGGGTTTAAGGTAATTTCCAATGCTAGGATGCTTTCAATATCCCCCGCACGGTCTGCCTCCCCACCCCACGCTGGATCTTTCCACCCCTGGGTCTCGGGAAGGGCCATATGAGACCCAGAGCAGTGCTCCCAACCAGATGGGACTGTTGTGGATGATAAAGGATGGCATCCAGGGCGCGAGTCTGGGTTCCAGCTCTTCTCCAAATTGCTCCCTCAAGAGAAGACGCTGCGGGACTCTGTTGTGACAATAGGCACACAGAAAAACATCACAAATAACTGTTGCAAGACAGAGGGAGCTTCCCTGGGCCTCATTATGCCTTTGGTCACTGGAGAGCCACTGCAAGCTTCCACTGCAGCCATGGGACGGGGGTCTAAGAAGCTGCAGGCAAAGTCAACTGCATCTACGTTACAAAGTTTAGACAAAGAGTAGAAGGGACATATTTAGGAACTTCACAGTGTCTTTGGCTACGTGAGTTCCTCCCCAACCCCCCAAAAGGAAGGGAAAAGGAGAGGGGAAAGAGAAATAAATGGCTGTCGTGATAGGCTTTTGAAGCAGTTGGGATACCTGCTGTTGCGGCACGCGAAGTGCCCCCCAGGCCTCCTCGCTGCCGTTCCCGCTGCTGGCCTGAGCCATGCCTCCACCTACAGCCCCCTGTAGACCACAGCCTCCTCTATCGCCAGGCGCCCCGCCCCTGCCACTTCTGCTGCCACCGCCATGGTCCCTGCCCGGCCCATCTTCGCTGCCGCCTCCATCATTCCGCGGCTGGAGCTTCCATCCGGGGAGAGCTCTGCCAACTAGGACCCAGATTGCTCGGCCCTACCAATCAGCGATGCCCGCCGGCGGACGGGCCAATAGGAACGGACCAGAGGTTTCTCCCAGGGACCAATCTACAGCAGCGCCTCCGCCACTCTCCCAGACGACAAGAGCTTACACAGACAAAGAGTGGGGCAAGATTCGACCCATGGCCCTGACTGACAGCGACAATAGCCAATATGGACAACAGAACGGGCTCTGCATCATCAGCCAATAAACGGCCGTCCGGACAAGCAAAGTCTCCGCTGATTGGCCTGGGCGCTACTTTCAGCGATGACGCCGAAGGCCCGACCAAGCCAGGTAATCCCACTGGAAGAGGCGGAGAGGCGGGGCGGCGGTGGCGGGGGGCAGGGGCTGTCCCCAAAAGTCCGCCCAAGTCTTCTTGCGGCCTAGGGGCCTGTTTCCCAGGTGTTAACGCAATCTCCCGTGAGGGCAAAATGTGTGTACGGGGCATTGGCCTGCCCATACCCCATTTCCCCAACTCTGTACAAGTCGAGGCATCGGATGAAATTTAATAATAAGGGGGGTAAAATAATGAAAACGGGGCAGGGGAGAGGGCGCAGAGTCCAGGTTAGGTCAGGGCCTTAAGTAGCCAAAAGGGGAGATCCGGGGCCCTCGGGTCCCCCAAGCCGCATCTGCAGGTTGATGCGGTAGCACTGAAGGCTGCAGAGCGCCTGGCCCGTGCGGGAGCAGGCGTAGCGGCGCGGGTGTGGGCAGCCGGGAACGGAGCATCGAGGAGGAGGGCCAGATGAGGATGGCCGCTGAGGCACTGGCGCGGGGGCGGGGACGCCAGGTGGGAAGGAAAGGGTGGAACCCTGTGCCCCGCTGCTGTAGCGCACCATGGGGGCCGGGGCCACGGTCCGCCCTCCCCGTCGCTCGCCCCGCGCCGCCCCGCGGCCTCCCCGCCCGCTGGGCGCCGCAGTCTTGGTGAGACGCTCGATAGTCTGGTTCTTGTGCTCCTCCGCCCGCCGGGCCGCCTGCAGCCGTCTCTTTCGCGCCCTCTCCTCGCGCTTCAGCAGCATCTCCTCGGTGAGGGCCGGGGCCGGGCAGCCCGCAGCCACAGGTAGCGGCAGCATCGGGGAAGGCTGACTCCGCGCCTTCTGCAGCAGAGCTCGCTGGGGAGAGACAGACCGAGTGATGTCAGAGAGGAGAGGTCTGCCCAAACGGGGGCAAGGGGATATGGAGATCTGGAAAGCAGGGTCTTGAGGAGCACTGGCCTTGAGAGAAGGGGTGGAATGAGCACCCTCTCCAGGTGCCTTTGTACGGCCTCCTCCTAGATCTCCAGACTTTCATCTTTAGAACCTTGACTCTAAAGAAGAAAAGCATTCATGTTTCCTGCCTGCTCTGAGTACCAAAACTCTACCACCTCTCCAGAGGTTTTTTTTGTTTTGTTTTCTGTTTTAAATCTTTTCATCTCATTCCAAACAGTGGGAAAGGATCTTTACTTCATGTCATCGGATGATACTACGATTGAAGAAAGGGCGTCTGGAGGTGATACAGATTTAACAGTGGATCCATAGATGTGGCCAGTCAGTCAGAAGCTGCTCTTAAACAAGTGTCATCTCACCCAGACAGAGCATTTGAGCAAATCGAGAGCATGTAGTCACAAGAAGCTGTCATTTTTGAAAACTCTGATATGCACTGAAAACAAAATAGATTTCAGGGTGACTATGTGGTGTATTTACAGTGGTGTTGCTGTATATATGGATCTGAGATCTTTCTTCTCCCTTTAAATGTGTTATGTTCCTAATCAGGAGGATTTATTTTGCTAAACAATTTGCTAACACATTACACAAATTAAAAAAAAAAAAAACCCACAACCTATTTTTGTTTAAGTATAGTGTTTAAATTAAAATAGAAAATTACAGGTCTATGACAAGTATGTGATGCTACTTAAGGGGATGGCTTTTTAGAAGTAACTGCTTCAGATTTTTTGTTTTGTTTCTGAAGCTTTGCCTTGTCTGTCTAGTTAAACATTTGACTGATAATTCTGTTTGATTTTGGAAGTATTCTAACATGACACAAGATCTGAATATAGTTTCTCCTGAAAAAAAAAAAAAAATCTTTTCATCTCAGTGGTATAGCATCAACTGGATAACTGCTCAAGCCCAAAACTCAGGGTTACCCTTAATTCCTCTTTTCTGGCCACTCCCTGACTCCCAACAAGTATCTATTTCCAAAACATATCCAGAATTCATCTGATTTCCTCCATATCCACAAATTCCACCTTGGTTCAAGCCACCACCATCTCTCACCTGACTACTTCAACAGCTTCCTGGCAGGTCTTGCTTCTACTCCTTACCTCCACTAAGAAGCCAAAGTAATCTACTGAAATATAAATCAAATGTATCACTTTCCTGCATACAACCTTTTCGTGCTTTAGTCACATTTATTTTTCTCCTTGGCCACTACTAGGCATGTTGCACTCTCAGGGTCTTTGCACCTACTGGTCTCTACTTGAAAGGCTCCTCTGGTATTGGAAATGTAATCTCATCAGAGAGGTCTTCCCTGCCTTCCCTATCTAGTGTTGTCTCTTCCCACCACTTTCTACTTCATCATCCTATTTTTGTTTAAACTGTACTTTTCAAAATTATTTATTTACTTACTTATTCCTCTCCCCCCAACACACACACACACACACACACACACAAATACCAGCTCCATGAAAACAGAAAACTTCTCCTTTTTTTTGCCATTGATATCCCCACTGCCTAGCAACATTCTTGGGACACAGGAAGTTCTCAATATATTTTTAGCCAGTGAACAAAGAATGAACCAACTTACCTGTCGAGCAGTGAGCAGCCGCTCGTTGATCTCCTTCTTGAGATCTCCATTGTCATCAAGCTCCCCCTTCTCCAGGGCATCCAGCCACCTCTGTTCCTCCTCTTCCTCTTGACCTCCTAAGCCCCCTGACAGGTCCCGAAGTGGGGAGGGGGACAGATTACTGTCTTCATCTGGAAAGCAAAGTTGGAGAGCTAAAAGTAGAATTGTTCAGATGGGGAACCCTAATTTGGCCAAGTTAATACTGAGACACTCAAAATTCTCACCCTCCTCAGAACCAACCCTCTTCCTTTCACCAGGTACAATGAGAAACCCAGTATCCCCACCTCCAGATTCTTCTCACCCAGCCAGGCACGGTACTGCTCAAGGGGGACTCCTTCCATAGGTTCCTCTTCATTGTCCACAACCATAAGGGGAGAGGGTGAGCGAGGACCCTCAGGGATCACAGTGAAAGTAGGAACACTGCAGAGAAGCAACCATTGTGTAAGATGAGCAGTTCTTTCCTCCTGCTTGGTAGTACAACCAGCATTCCCCTACACCGTCTTGGGTTCTGCCTTCACCTGGGCCCTGAAGTCAGTGTCCATTCTCTGTCTGCTGGAAAGCCCAGCCAGCTTCTCCTTCTATCTCTGCCTGCTCCTAAAGTCCCCCAAGTAAAACCTTGGCTTTCTTGGCCTCACCTCTTGGTGCCCAGGACCTGCCCACCCAGTTTGATTTTGAGTTTAAGTTGGGGCTTAGCAGGTGACGGCTGCGTTGGCCCAGCCTCCTCTTCCTGATGATGTTTCTTCTTGTGTTTTTTCTTGTGCTTCTTGTGCTTTTTCTTGTGCACTCCATGGCCGTGGGCACCCGCCAGGCTCAATTCCAGCGCTTCCCCTGCGTGAGGAGAGCCTGTCAACGGTGTAGATAAGGGAGGGACAGGGAAAACCTGGAAGAACCCAATACCCCCAAGGGACCCCACTCTTCCCGCGGTACACGCTGTTACCATAACAGCAGCCCCGCCTTTCTCCTTCCCACCTGTAGCGAAGTACCCCGGAGGCTCGGAAGAGCAAAAAGGGCACTCCTTTTCTGCGAACGCCTAACTTGCTTTATCGACCCGCGCTTACCGGGTTCAGGGGCTTCCATAGCCCCAGAGGTGCTACCGCGCCGCCACAGCTTACTCATGGGGTCCTGCAAGGAAAGGGGGCTGGAAATCGTAGGGACACATGCTGACAGGCCTTTTCCGCCCCGCGGAAAAACCGACTCCTGCAAAGTAACGGGCTACTTCCGGCGCGTAACAACCATGCTTCTGCGGGGCTCGCGCTGAGGCTAAAACCCTCCCTGAGAAACAATGAGGCTTCTAACAAAGGTTCCGGGCCCTCTGAGGCCGGGACAGCTCAAAGCAGGCTCGGCTTTCCCCTCGCTCCACCTCCCCGCCCTCGATTCCAGAACTCAGCGCGGGCGGTTCAATTATTATTGCACTCAAACGTGGTGAGTGTATACTCTGGACCAAATTCGGGGTTTTAGGCTATGAGGATACAAAGATGAATAGGAACACTTTCCCCTGCTTTTGAGGAGCTCACAGTGCAGTGGAGGAGTACGGAGAAAACTACATTGTGGGCAAAATGGCAGAAGTGCTTAATAGTGTAAGTGCCCTAGGAGCAGTGCAACGGTATTTAAGCCTAACCTCGTCAGTAGAGAAATGGATAAATGAATATGGTGCATCTATACAATCTGGAACACTATACTGCTAACAAAAGTTAAGAGTGATAAGTGATTGATAAGATTGACATGGAATTTAGATCCTGTGGGCAATAGCGGTGGAAACAATCTAAGTGTCCCTCTAACGAAACACCAAAATAATTTGGTGCATGGATTTGGTACATCCATACAATGGGCAGCTATGCTGCTCTTCAAAGGAATGAGGCCTCTGAATGCTACCCAAGAAACTAAGTGGCATCATTTCTGATGGGTGGCTGGGGAACAAGTGTGAAAGGAGACTTAGTTTTCATAATATACACCTTTGTGCCTTTTGAACTTTGTATAAAGCATGTGTCGATTTTACCTAATTTAAAAAAGAAGGGGGTGGGGTGCCTGGGTGGCACAGTCAGTTAAGCGTGGGCCTCTTGCTTTGGCTTAGGTTGTGATCTTGGATCCTGGTGTGCGTTCGCCCCCCGGCCACCCCCATGGTGCTCAGGGCAGAGTCTGCGGGAGAGTCTCTCTCTCCCTCCCCCTCTGCCCCTTGCACTCGTGCTCTCTCTCTCTCTCTCTCTAAAATAAATAAATCTTTAAAAAAGAGGGGGGGCTCCTGGGTGGCTCAGTTGGTTAAGGGTCTGTTCTTGATACCGGCTCAGGTCATGATCTCTGAGTCATGTGATCAGGCTCTCCTAGGCTCTGCGCTGGGAGTGGAACCGGCTTGGGATTCTCTCTCTCCCTCTGCCCAGCCCCCCTGCTCTCTTGAGTGTGGACTCTTTCTCTCTGGGGAAAAAAAAAGAACAACAATGAGGTAGATCTGTGTGTGCTGATATATGAAATAAGAAAGGTGAGTTTCAATATGATGTGATGCCATTTAAAAAGTGTAATATGCTCCTATATACACCAAAAAAATTGAGGAATATATACTGCACCTTAATGTGGTTATCTTTAGAAGCTGGGGTTGGAGAGGGGCCCCTGGCTGGCTCAGTCAGTGGAGCATGTGACTCTTGATCTTGGGGTCCTGAGTTCAAACCCCATGATGGGTGTGGAACCTACTTAAAAAAAAGTTGTTGGGGTTGGGGAACTTCCACTATCTAGATCTGTAATGAATTTTCTTAGCCAGTATATAGCACATTTATAATTAGAAAAATGTACCACCTATATACATACATTTAAATATGTACAAGATCAGTGTCTGAAAAAGGTAACATTAATGAACAAAGAAAGAACTAATTCAAGAGACATTTCAGTGACAAAATTAAAAGGAATCAGTGAAATTATATATGGGAATTCAGGAAGAAGTCAATGTTATATAATGATTAAGATTAACAGAATGAACTTTGGAGTCAGACAAGCCTATTATAAAAACCCATTTCCCATATTTATTAGCTACATAACCTTGAACTCAAAAGTTATTTAAGCTCTCAGAACCCTAGATTTCAGCCTTGTAGGATGGAAGGAAATAGGATCTACTTTAGAGGGCTCTTTCAGGGGAAAAAGCAAATCAAGAATGCAAAGCACAGGGGTGCCTGGGTGGCTCAGTCATTAAGCATCTGCCTTCAGCTCAGGTCATGATCCCAGGATCCTGGGATTGAGCCCCGCATTAGGCTCCCTGCTCCACGGGAAGCCTCCTTCTCCCTCTCCCACTCCCCCGCTTGTGTTCCCTCTCTGGCTGTGTCTCTCTTTGTCAAGTAAATAAATAAAATCTTAAAAAAAAAAAAAGAATGCAAAGCACCTAGTATCTGGAAAATAGTAGATGTTCAATAAGCAAATGACAACAACAAAAATAATAAATGACTTTTTTAAAAAAAGATTTTTTAAATTTATTTGACAGACAGTACAAGCAGGGGGAGTGGCAGGGAGAGGGAGAAGCAGGCTCTCAGGGAGCCCGATGCGGGACTAGATCCCAGGACCCTGGGATCATGACCTGAGCCAAAGGCAGCTGCTTAACAGACTGAGCCACCCAGGCACCCCTAATAAATGACTTGTGCATTTCTAGCCCAAGTATTTAGAGGGAGCGTGGTTTGTTAAATAAGAAAGAAGCAAGTCAGTTAGTGTTGCCCAGGGTGAATTCGAAGTGCCTGTGGGGATGCCCAGACAGAGATGGAATACTGACCGCAGAAGCCAGTTCGGTAGACAAAGGCTAATGATCACTTGTGTACTGTCCTGCAGAGGGCAGGCTGAGCTCCTAGAAGAGGATGCCCTCTGGCAGGCAACAGTGCTGCATCATCAGGAGTTGAAGTGAGGGATCACCTGCAGCTAGTGTTTGTCAAACACATTATAGCTTATAACCTGCTTTCATATTCCTTCTCTCCCTTGAGCCCCACAGCAGCTCCGTAAGAGAGATACTATTGTTCCCTCATGAAGAAACTGAGGCTCAGAGAGGTTAAATGATTTGGCCAAAGTCACATAGTTAGGGAGTGGCAGAGCCAGCCTCCAACAGAGGCTTCCTGACACCAGGCCCAGTGGTGTTTCCTCAACATCCTGATGCCCAGCAGGGAGGAAGTGGCGACAGCAAGTAGCCTCTGGCTTCATTATTTTGTTTTGTTTTGTTTTTGCTTTGTTTAGAGTGGAAGAGGTTTCAGCATGTTTGTAGGCCAAAAGGAAGAACTTTATTCTCCTGAAAGAGTTCTTAGCTTTATTTTTAAAATATAATTTATTTAGAAATAATTGCGAACATATAGAAAAGTTGCAGGAAGAATACAGAGAACTCTTTTGCTTCCTAAAATCAGATTCTGCAATTGTTAACATTTACTATTACCCCTCCCCCTCATTATCATTATTCCTTTTCTGATCAATCTGAGACAAAGTTGCAGACATGATGCCATTTCACCCCTAAATATATCACTGTGTATTTCCTCAAAATAAGTACTCTGTTCTATAACCTTTGTGCAACCCTCCCAGTCAGGAAATTAACATTGATAGAGCATGACCATCCAACCCACAGACCCCCATTCAAGTTTCACCAGCTGCCCAGTGTCTCCTTTTCCTTTCTAGCCCAGGATCCAAATCCAGAATCATGCAGTACATTCCTTTGTCATGTCTCTTTGATCTGCTTTAATGTGGAACATTTACTTACCCTTCCCCTATCTCTCATGACCTTGACAGTTTTAAGAAGTACAGGCCTTTGGACACATGGCTGGCTCAATCCCTAAAGCATGCAACTCCCAATCTCGGGGTTAGAAGTTCGAGCCCCACATTGGGTGTAGAGATTACTTAAAATAAAATATTAAGAAAAAAGTACAGGCCTTTGATTCCTTAGGATGTCTTTCAGCCTGGATCCATCTGGTGTTTGCTCCTGTCTTGACTCATAATTGTTGGCAGGAGTACTACACAAAAATGACTCTGCTGTGTTCTTCTCAGTGTATCTACATCAGGAGGCACCACTGATGAAGTTAACCTTGATCACCTGGTCAAAGTTGTGTCTGCCATTTTCCCCACTGTAAAGTCACCATTTTCACTTTTGTAATTAATGAGCTATTTTCTGGGGAAATACTCTGAAACTACTCTGATATCCTGTTCCCCATCAAACCTCCACCCACTGGGCTTAGTATCCATTGATGAATACTGTATGAGTCGACAGTACTGTAATAATTGCCAATGGAATTTTTCTACTTCCGTTATTCCATCTACATATATTAGTGGGCATGCTACTGTGAAGAGGAGCTTTCTCCTCTTATGTTCCTTTACATATATATTTATTTATATCATTATGGTTTCCTATTTCAGTCAATGGGTTGTAGTCCATTGCTATCATTATTTATCTTGGTGCTTAAAGAAATGTGGGCATTTCTTTAAGATGATTTCTGTGTCCTTTTGACATATCTCCATCATGCTTTGAGGACTTTTTTACTTCCTAGCACTACAAAATGTTTTGGGCTTATCTTGTACTTTGCTTTAATAAGGGGTGGGAACCAAGAGAGGCTGGGAAGTAGGAACATGTGGCTGAGGTTACATGGAGCCTACACTAGTCACACCACAGTAACCTGCTGATGAGGATTTCCCTGCTGGCACAACCACCCGCCCTTCATGGACTGCAGGTGCGGTAATTATATCATGAACTCTCCCTGGGTCTTGTTGTCACTTGTTCAAGATTCAAAGTCCAGTTGGGAGCATTCCAATTGGTTGGCTTAGGCCAAGTGCTTACCCCTGGGCTGTGAAGAAGTGGAAGAGAGGAGGAATGACCTCCAGCTGCCATAAAGAGGGCAGAGCCTGCCTGCCAATATTGTCCACAGTAGGGGACCATGCAGAAACAGGAAGATGATTTGAACACCGGGTGACCAACAGCTCCTCTTCCAAACATCTACTTCATAGCTGGAGAGACAGAGATACATACATAAGCAAAGGAAAAAGTCGGAAAGATCATGTAGCAAACCAGTGGTATGCTGGTAAATTTTTAACAAAAGCTCCCCAGCGGAAAAGAAAAAAAAACAGCCCTGATTTTTAGTGTTCACCTGTTTCTGTTGTTTAACTGCTCCCACCATGCCCGATTTCAAACGTGACATGATGGAACA